TATAATTGCCTTGACGCACAATAATTATTGTCTAACTCAGACGTTTCTCAAGTCTTTATCCAGCTGATACTTCGATCAATATGATAATTTCTCGAACATTCCACTCTTTCAACCCCAGAGCGCAGTCGACAATTATAGTACATAAACGTTCAGGCGTGTTATGTTCGCTATTGGTATGTCTGTTTACTGTCTGACAATTATATCCATATTTATATACTTCTAGTTAGTTTTCAAAGTCATTACGTGGTGCTACCTACAGTGAAATCGTATAACTGTTGTGGGTTGTTTTTTTTCACAAATTCTTAATTGATTAATTTGTATTTTTTTCACGTTTTACACCCACATAGACACAATTAAATGTCGTGTACAAGCCAGGCTTCTTCGACTTTCCTATTCAGGGCCAATCAAGACAGAGGGTACAGTAAACCAACAGAAAGGCAAATAGTACAGACACCACTACTTCGAAATCGAAGTCAAGCCTTTTATTGTATTAATTTTTTGGAAGTGGTCTTTTTAAGCGTTTTACGGTGCTCACGGCTGCATAAGGTCATATGAGCGTGCAGTTTCTATGTGTAACACCGGAGAGTCTAATCCTTACACATAAGGTACGCTGACGCTAGATGAGTGTTTTACGCCCCCATCAACATAATTTGGGTCGTTTACGAGGCGGGCTGCTTCTACTCTGTCAAGACCAAACTGTCAAAATGAAATATTATTAACATTCTGTCTGACAGGTGGACATACTCAATTAAAAAATAAAACGGCAAAAAAATAAAACGTCCCCACCCTAGAATCAAACTCATTTCACAGCGATGAGCCTAATCATAATAATAATATTATGTTTGGCGTACAGACTGTAGGTAAAGAAACAATCCGATCGATTCTATAAAGCAAGGTTTCGTATCAATACCATTGTTCAAATAAGGATTCTTTTATTCTTCCATTAATTCCTTTCTTCATTCTCAATATTAATTTAATACTTTTATTCTGTTATCCCTGATCATATTTCCATTCTTTCATTTGTTCATTCTTTTATTCATTCAATCTTTGTTCTTCGTTTGTGCTTTCATGGTTGACATTCCTTTTCTCACTGCGATGATCCCTTTTCCTAACTAGAGACTATTCGGTCTTTCATTATTTTCTTAACTTCCAGCACTCCATGATCTAATTTGCTAAAAAGTCAGATTCCAGTGGAGATTACCCTGATTCCAATCCTTAAAGAGACATTCTTGAACTTCGTTTATTTTTAATGGAGTCTTATTAACACGACACCGACCTTGTCTCTGTCCTATGGGAGTTACTGTGAAAATGTAGGCCTGTATTCCTCACACTAGTTGCGCTGATCTCCTCCTCCCCCCCTCACAAAATCACACTTTCCCTAATCCATCCTTCCCACACATCAACCCTTTAGACCATTCCCACTCCACATCCTCCCCCACATCCTCCCCCACATCCATCCCCACATTCTCCCCCATATCCTCACCCACATCCACCCCCACATTCTCCCCTGAATCCACCACCACGTCCTCCCCCACTTCCTCCCCCATTGATACTCTACCCTCCTCAGTATTCTTCCAGGCCGGCCCCATCAACTCTTTTCCCATAACCCCGGAAAACAATCAATTTTCAGACGGTCTCAGTACTACGGTTTGATGCAGTTTTCTCCCCCGTCACCCCCCACCCCCAAAAAATAAAAAAAGAAAAAAGAAAAAGAAAAAACATTGCTCCTAACAATGCAAAATCGACTTGTAACTAGAGTTTGTCGTCAGCCCCCGCAATTTTTTTCCTTCCAACAGTTCCAACAAGTTGCGAAACACCAGGGGCTTAGAGTGTAACGGAAGATTTGTTGCGAATTTCCGAGAGGTTATTGAAAACATTGACAAGCCTTCCTACCCATCCTCCTCTCCCTCCCCCTCCCCCTCCCTCTCTCCCACCCACATACGCAATATTTATACACTTACATGCATACAAACATACACACAGAGATACACATACACACGTGCGCGCGCACACACACGAGCGCACACACAAACACGCATGGAGAGAGAGAGAGAGAGAGAGAGAGAGAGAGAGAGAGAGAGAGAGAGAGAGAGAGGGGGGGAGAACGAAAGAGAGAAACGATATTGCAAATAAGTAACAATGATAAGAAAAGATAGATTACAACAAGGGCGGCACCATCTCTAAAATACCCCAACCCTTCCCGCCTGCTTTTAACGATGATTTACAAATAAGAAAACAAGAACAAGGAAGCCATGAAACAATCTCGGTGACAGAAGTCCCTCCACGAGTTACACGTTTATTTTGGCGTCCTTTGGTGAGGGACATCGGAAGCGAAGTCACTTACAAGGCCTCTCTCTCTCTCTCTCTCTCTCTC